GGGGATGTAAAAGGGAAAATGTGATTATTTTCCTAAATCTATTGTCTGCTTTTAAAGATGCATGTTATATTACATGTAGTAGTACAAGATTTGTTTTGGAAATTTTTATATGTCAATTTTGTACATATAGCAATCCTTGTACTAGTGGGACCGTTTGATGTAATCCATGTTTCTATGTAATGAAATATGTGTTCTATGTAAATGTGGTATTTGGGGCGTTACAGAAGTGGTATCAGAGCCTGAGTTTAAGGGATTTAGGTATTCAACAGCATGATACCTAGACTTAAATTGTTTTTATTGCATGATAAGAGTCCCAGACATAGTTAGCACCATTGGAAATAAATATGATGAGTTGAAAGAATAGTGTGTAAGGTAAATTTTAACTACATCTGGCCAGTGTAATTATAAATTTACAGGTACACATCTGAACTTGAATACTTCATTATATTTGGGAATGTGAGTACATGATTATTAATATTAAACTTCGCAGATGTCTAGCCGAACTAGAAGATCTGAAAGATTGGCTCATCCAGAATCTGAGGAAATGAAAGAATCACCTGTTAATCCTCCAATTAGTATGTCTGGAAATAAAGGTCGGGGAAGACCAAGGGGACGAGGTAGAGGAAGAAGTCAGTCTCAAGGAAGAGGACGGACTGAAATCCAATATGAACAAGAAGAAGCTCACTCTGGAAATGTTCATGAAACGTTAGTGCCACACCCAGAATATATAACTAGAAATATGTTGGCAGAGGAAATGGGAAAATTGCGGGAAACTTTGACATCTATCATGGGAATACCGGCTAGGGTGGAAACAGAAAGAGTGGAAGTTCATCCATTTGTTCCAGTTACCATAATAAAGAAGAGGATATTAAAATGTTCTTAGCATGTAAACCACCAACCTTCTCTGGGGAGAGAGATCCAGTGAAAGCAATGTGTTGGATCAAGGAAATGAAATCTGTGTTCAACACCATTCGGTGTCCAGAAACAGATAAAGTGCGATTTTTTGTTTCGGTATTGAAGTCAAATGCTTTGTTTTGGTGGGAAGTTGAATCATCTACCAGAACAGATGTTTTACAGATTTTGTCATGGGTAGAATTCATGGATAGATTTAAAAATCAGTTCTGTCCTAAAACGGCCGTGAGACAAATGGAGGAAGATTTCCTGAAGTTAGAGCAAAGAAATGGAACAGTTCGAGAGTATACTGAAAGATTTATTTGAATACTCTCGTTTTGCCGAACACTATGTTTCGAATGAATCCAGGAAGATAGAAAGGTTTATTTGGGGTCTGAAACCCTCAGTTAGGGGATTCGTTATTGCTATGAATCCCAATACCTTTCCATTAACAGTAGAGGCAGCTGAGGTGACTGAAAGAAATAAGAATAGACAATCAGAAGTAAAGGTTGTTGAGAAGAGAAAATGGAAAGGGCCTTCATCTTTTCGGGGGCCGAAAACTGTTAGATATAATAACCGATTTGAGCAGAAGAACAATGAAAAAGTCTGCTCACAATGCCGACAGGTTCATCAGGGAGAATGCAAGATGGACCCAAGGAAATGTTACAAATGCGCGAAGCGGATCATCTGTCTAGAAACTGCCCAGCTAATAGAAGGTGTTTCAATTGCAATTCTCCGGATCATATTCGACCGAATTGTCCTTTGTTAAGAACTCCTCGTCTGACAATGGGAGGAAATACTCCCAGTAATCGTGGAAGGCCTAGTGTACCGAGGGGAGGCCAGAGTGGAACCAGAGGTAGATCATTTCAWATGACAAAGAATGAGGCAGAAGCAWCCCCAGATGTAGTAACAGGTACATTCCTTCTRAATTCACAACGTGCTAAGGTGTTATTTGACTCTGGTGCAAATTATTCATTTGTATCACCATTATTTGCTCAAATTGCATGTTTGAAATCTGTGCTACTTGATGATGAATTAGTAGTTGATACTGCTAATAGTCAAGAAACTCTTACTAGTGTGTTCAATAACTGCATTATTGTTATTGAGGGTTGTAAGTTTTCGATCCGCTTATTTCCCATGCCGATGAAGGAATTTGACGTAGTAGTATGTATGGACTGGTTGGCAAAGAATCAGGCTAGTATTGTTTGTAATCCAGTTTATAACCAACGGTAGTTTAAAAACTCACCTTAACAAATCACAGGTTCTGAAGATAAAAAGCACACAGCAACTCGCAATCTCTTCAAACAACTTTAAACAACAGATTCTTCAAGAACATTTTTCACCGCCACAAAACTTTCTTCAAATGAAATGATATGAAATGATAAGATAAAATCTTATCTTTCTATTTCTTTAAATACTCCCACCAAGRCGGTGAAGATTATTTTAACTATAAAACTCATAGGCGGTGAAAGTTTCTTCCAATAGAAATAATCTTGGGCGGTGGATAAATCAAAAGGTCCATTTACGGGCCAGGGCCATAAAGGCTAAAATTCATGATTTCTTAACCATGAAAATATAATAATTTCACCTGAATACAATAAACACCATCTCATGTATGCTTCACACCACATGCATACATGTATAAATCATATATATGTCATGCCAATATCATGTTCACATATATGGTTCATGCATTTCTACTTAGATATGCATATTTCACGTAATTCACATAATAAACATGTATAAATTACCTCAACTCAGGTTGTCTCAAACCTGGTTATAACAGCTTCAGAGTTAATAAATGTTGGCGTGTTAGAACAACTACGTCTACAAGTGTATTCAGTACTTGTTTTCTTCAGAGCTTGATTATATAGAGATGGACGTCCACAAGTGGTTCCATGAACTGAGAGTTCACAGAAGAACGTTTTTTATGGCATGATTATATCCTTCAACCTTCTTAGTAAGCTTTTATGACCAAGAGCTGACTGTTTGTTGAAATTTTCTCAAAACATTTGAACTTCATCGTCATATTGAATATCGTCATCTTGTTCGGACACACATGGCGAGAAATCAAGTTTTTTTCCCCAAAATACATCTATCGCATCAAGTGGAATGGTTACATATTGACATGTATACAATGCTTATTCATACGCACATGATAAACCATGACTTGTACGCAATTTACAACCACAATTTTCAAATACGTTAGTATTGAAAGACCGTTCATATTTCCTGAAAATCATATCAAGTGCATGAAATGAAACAAAACCCCACAAATTTTGAAAATATGGTTTTCCAAATAAGTGTTTCCTAATTATATTCAAAACTTGCTTTGGTCGATGTGTCTTCTGAATGAATTACCTGATGAATATGAGATAAAAAATTCTATAAGTCTGCTCGTGAAGTCTCAAAAAATAATTTTAATTTGGAATGTTGGCTTTCAACTCTATTTGTTGTATGATTTCCAAAGTTTAAAACTTGATCAACCCAAGCAGATACAAACATTTTCTTATATGGTGTCAATCATACATATCCAAGTAATTAAAAACACATGAAAAATACAACAAACATATGTCAATATCTTTGTTAATAATGGTTAAACTATCTTATATCAAGAATACCTGGATAATCGAGCAACTTTTCTTGAAAGTTGTCCCAAATTGTACATGTATCATTCCTGATTTTGAGATTCAAGTGATTGCAACCATGCTTGATAAAGGGTATTCCACACGTGAGTCTCTTGTATCGATGGTTTACAATGCTTCAAAATATTTTGATAGATGTGTCATCTCGTACACTTTATCATTTTATGTTTTATACCCTTATTATATTTATATCATTACATACCCATAATTAAATCAAAAAAATATCCAATATCGGGCTCATTTCGAAGGTACTGACGAGACAATTATAATGGTGTAACTTGTTAAAATAAAAAACGTATTTTAGTTAATATACGATTATATATGTTAATGGGTAAAAATGTAAAACGAAAAATGAAAAATCAAGGGACGCACCATAAATTAAATAACTAACTACAAGAGTATAAAATGTAAGTATTAAAAAAATATTTTTGTAGTATATATGATATAATAATATAATTAAATAAAAAAAATTCAATATTAGACTCATTTCGAAGGTATTGACCAGATGATTATAATAATGTAACTTGTTAAAATAAAAAACGTATCTTTTAACTTATTTTAGTTGATATACGATTATATATGTTAATGCGATAAGGGTGTAAAACAAGGGAAAATTAAGTAATAAGTGTGAGAGGAAGGGTCTTTCATCAGTTGTATTAATAATTAATTAGTAATACACAGCTTTAGGTTTAGGGTCACAATGTGTTGTAAAAGGAAAGAAAAGAAGATTACATATGTCGTACCTTTTTATGTTTCTTCTACCTCACAAAAACAATCTCCACATTCTTAATTTCATCTTCCAAGATTGTCTTTTAGAACCAAAGGGTCATTGGAATCAGGAGATATATGTGCTTAATTTTACTGCAATGAAACACGATCGAACAAAAACCGATGAGAAATCGTAGAGATCACGTAATCAAGAAGTTGTTACCTCGCGACAAACTGCAAAAGCAATTAGGAAAAGAAGCAAAGAATCAGTATATGTCTTCTAATTGGGAATAAACATATATTTCCAAAGCAAAAGGTGAAAAGTTAAAAGAACACCAATAACATATATAGTCATTAAGACTTTACTTGGGTATCCTGTTATCAGAATGGTGAAAAGTAAAAAACCCAATAACATATGCTCAACATGCAGTTTGCTGAAGGTGTTTAGGACATTTCTATCCCTTACCAAATTCATTCATTCTTTTTTGTATTTTAACAAGCATTAAAACAAGCACTGCAAGATGAGAGTTGAGTTGTTCATGTTAGCGTACATTGTTCGTTATGTCCCTAAAACCGAAACCTAGTGAATTGAGTTGTTCATGTTAGTATTATGGAGCCAGAAAGCCATAAAATTGAATGTATTTACTATTCAATCTCGTGATTCTTGCTTGGTCTCCAAATGATAAAAAGTAGAAAATAAACATATGAGGTTTATTAATTGAAGCAAGGAAGTTGATTCAGTAAGTTTGCCAATCACTTTATTCCATTGTTAATACATATATAAAGCCAACCAAGTTATCCTTAAGGAAGATCACAACCAAACATATTTGGCCCTTACCTTTCCTGCATCAAATATGGATTCCTCAACCTCCAACTTTATGAAGGGCATACCAGCTCTTACCAGCGGTAAGAAGTACTCGACACCTACCAATCCCTTAACTGGGACCAATTCCACACCCAATCCGAAGCACCAACAAGAACAGCAGCAGCAGCAGCAGCAGCAGCAACAAGAGCAGCTCATAGGTCCAATGAATAAGCTCATGGGTCCCATGAATAACATGGGGTCACAGCCACCAATGAACAACCAACTGGTACAACAGATGGTGAGTCAAACACGTAAGCCGATGCAGCAGAGCACAAGTGAGGGAAACTCTATCTTCAGTGCAACGGACGACAATGTGATCATGAAGCAAGTTATCAGTACCCATCTCCCTGATGGCACTGATGTTGATGTCAAACCTCTTCTCAACATCGTAGAAGATATCCTCAAACATGCTACTATCAATGCTGATCCCATTTCATCGGTATAACTATTTTATAAACGACTCCACTTTTCATATACCATCTTATGCTCATCTAGGGTTGGGTTCCGTAGAGAAAGACTCATTTTCATGAGAATACGAGGAGAGTGAAGGTTTCTCGTGAAACCTGTGAAGATAATCTTATATTATGTAAAGGTCATGTGACCAGAAATACGCAGTTTCAGGTCATGTGAAGATTACAACCTTTACATAATATAGCAGAACCTTCACACAATATAAAGATACCTTCACATTTTCTCACCTTATCACGAAAATAAAAATTTCTTGAATGATCCCAACTCTGTTCATCTAAATGGTGCTTTAAATTCACCCCTTCCCGTCTAGAATCTGGTTCCTTGTTATCAACACTTTGCCTTCATATATTACAGTTCAAGCAGTTCATATCACAGTTATGATGATTTGTGGTTCTTTTATTTGGTGTAGAGTGCACATACAGATGGGGATAAACTGGATGATAAACCCCATCACACCAATGCAGTTGTCATGCTCAATTCACTATCTCATATAATTGACAAACTCGCCAACGAGGTACTATCTGAAAACAGAATACATACGCTCATATTTTTATATTCTGTACGATGGAGATGTAATTATTCGTGATTCTTTTAGATGGCGTTGAAATGCTTAACGGGTGGGGATGGACACACAACAGCCCTTGCGCTATTCCACACCGTGGGAAACTTCCATTGGGATGCAAAGCTGGTGCTAACCCTAGCAGCTTTTGCTCTCAACTATGGGGAATTCTGGTTGCTTGCTCAAATTTACTCATCAAACCATCTTGCTAAATCTATGGCAATCCTTAGACAAGTTCCATCGATCATGGAGCATACGGCTCCATTGAAACCTAGATTTAATGCCCTTAATAAACTCATTCACTCCATTCTGGAACTAACACAGTGCATCCTACAATTCAAGGAGCTTCCATCTATGTACATAACTCCTGATATGCCAGCCCTGGCCTCAGCAATAAATATCATTCCTACTGCTGTATACTGGAATATCAGAGGAATCATCACTTGTGCCTCACAGATTGCGAACTTGACCAGCATGGGTCACGAGTAAGTAAACTTTATCCTAATGCCTAATCACATTTATAATGTAGGGTCGGGTTCTGGTAGGAATTCAAAACTTCGTAGGAACTCAAAATTTCGTAGGAACTATAGGAACCGCTTTGTTAATGGAGGTTCATATAAGTTAAAATCCTCACCTACGTTAACATATGTTAACATTTGCATGTGAATATATGATAACATCCATGTTAACGTATAGGACGATGTTAACTTACGTGAACCTCCATAAACAAAGTCGTTCCTATGGCTTTTACATGAAAAAAAAACATTTCCTACACGATCCTCATTCTTATAATATAAATATCCTTATAAAGATTGTGACATGGAAGAACTAATGATTTAGGTATGGGATTTCATCGACGGAGTTGCAGTCATGGGAACTATCCAGCATAACCCTAAAGATCAATCACATTCATGAGTTTCTCAGGCAACAACTGGAAAATTGCCGTCAAGTTGTTGGTATGTTATAGAGTTATGTAAACATAAAAGACATCATGAGTGTCAGTTACTTATACATAAATAGTAATGGGTATTTTGTTGATTGATTGATGCAGGAGACAAGAAAGAAATTGAGTTCAGGAGGTCTTTCAATCAGCTATTTGAAACAAACCATATTGATAACATGAAAATCCTCAGAATCTTGATAAATCCCAGAGATAACATGCAACCACTCTTCGATGGCTCTACTAAAAAGAGGGTATAATATCAACAGTAATTAAATTTCGACATACATGTACAATTAAATAGACACATATTATCGTAAATTGGTTGCATATTGCAACGGCTCAACAATAGTTAGGAGCATCTCCAACATATTCTCTATAATTTCCCTAAAGTTGATAAGTTAAAGTTGAAAAACCTCACAAAAATATTATATTCATTCAACTCCAAAAGTTTCTCCATTTTGGATATTTCAATATTAATTATATTTTATTCAACACATTTAATATCCCTATAAATTTTCAAATAAGTTTTATATAGACCTTATTGGTGCCTTATAGGAGAGAAAAATAAAAAAATCATTTAGTTTTAGGGAATTCTCCAAATTTGAAGAATTTTATCACCTCTTTCCTACTTTCTCCATTTTGGAGAATCTATTGAAGCACAAAAGTAGCATAAAAACCCTAAAATCTCCATTTTGAAAAATCTGTTGGAGATGCACTAACACCCTGCAAAACTGTTCTGAACAGGTTAGCCTGGAAGTCCTGAGGAGAAGAAATGTATTGTTGCTGATATCTGGCTTAGACATGTCCAACGAGGAACTTTCGATTCTTGAGGACATTTACGGTGAGTCCCGAATTCAGGGAACACGAATGGATGCTCTGTATGAAATCGTGTGGATGCCCATCATTGACCCTTCTGTACAGTACACCGATGCAATGGACCGGAAGTTTGAGGAGATGATGAACAGAATGCCATGGTACTCCGTATCCCACCCTTCCCTCATTGAGCGGCCGGTTATCAGGTCCATCGGAGACCGGTGGCATTTTAGGAACAAGCCTATTCTAGTAGTGTTTGACCCACAGGGAAGAGAATTGAGCCCTAATGCAATCCACATGATGTGGATTTGGGGAAGCAATGCCTTCCCCTTCACCAGCATCAAAGAAGAACAACTGTGGAAAGATGAAACTTGGAGGCTAGAGTTGCTAGTTAGTGGCATGGACCAAACCATACTGAATTGGGTGAGTTCTTTCTTCCAACCAATTATACACACCAAAAAGCTAATACACACTTAAAATAAAGGATGTCCTAAAAACTTGTTAAGACATTCAAATTGTCCTATATACTCATTGTAACCCTTTACATAAAGGCACTTTTATTTTGATCTTTGCAAGTCCTATAAAGTAGTCCCTTTGGTTGTAGTGAATGTGCATCCATCTATCAAAGCATCAGTAGCACGGTAATAGTAATTGTAACCTTTTTATAAGATAAATTGTGTGATACATTTTGCAGATAAGAGATGATAAATACATATTCTTGTTCGGAGGTGATGATATCGAGTGGATCCGCAAATTCACCACCACAGCACGGGCCATGGCAACGGCTGCACGCATCCCCTTAGAGATGGTGTATGTTGGGAAAAGCAAAAAAAAGGAAAGTGTCCGTAGGGCGATTTCTACCATCACACTCGAGAAGCTTAGCTACTGCTGGCAAGAAACCACCCTAATGTGGTTCTTCTGGAGGCGGTTGGGAAGCATGTTGTACTCCAAGATTCAACTTAAGAAGGCCGATGATCAAGACCCCATGATGCAGCAGATCAAGAAACTGCTGAGCTATGATAAGGAGGGGTCATGGGCTTTGTTGTCTAAAGGATCAAAATTTCTGACCAATGGACATGGATCCACCATGATGCAAACACCTGCTGATTTTGACGTCTGGAAAGAACATATCCCATCAAAGGGTTTTGATTTGTCGTTTACGGACTACCATGATAAGCTTCATGTTGAAGCAAACAATTGCTGCCGATTTGAGTTTCCGATTGCAGCTGGTAGAATCCCCAACAGTATGCGGTGCCCGGAGTGCCATCAACTCATGGAGAAATACATTGCTTTCCTCTGTTGCCATGACCACACTGGCCTTCTTGAGCCCTATTGAACACCATCTACTTATTACTACCAATCATGCGGTCTCTGACCGTGGGCTTGAATAAACGAGTGTTGTAATTTTCTTGGGTTGTTTCATTTTCTAAATTTTAATAAACTTTATATTCACTGACAGAGATTTTATTATTATTATTTGTTCGAATCTCATATCGGATAGACTTGGACCATTTATCTTCAATTATATGTGGGGCCTCCTTTTTAGGAGAGTAATCGAATGGGATCCCATATATTCTCACATAATTAAAAAAATTAAATTGCTTCTATAAGGATATAATAATTGAAACTAAGAAATGGGGATTGTTAGAAAAAGCCTCAATACATAACTATCAAAAAATTAATGAAGCTTTAGGATGAATTGGAATCAATTAAGTGCATTGGAATCCATTTACTCTTAATCTTTGAACGAAACCTTCTAAAAGATGATTAGTTCAACACGATAAACAATAAATTTCAGTTTCAAAGAATCTTAACATCTTTTATCCAAAAGCAAAGAGCCTGAACCAAGATTTCATGATGGGCTGCGTAAAGGATTACTATATGTCTATATCAATATATAATTTAAATGTGAGAAGTTATCTAAGTTTTTCTTATAATGTTTTAGTCAATTCATGTACAAGTAAAATATGTACTAATAAATCAATATTAATAAAACATGCAAAGTACAACACTTCATAGAATAAGAGGAAGAAAAAGAAGGGTGTTAATGCATCCACGAAGGATGGAGCAGCAGAAGGGTACAAACCTGCAAAGCAGAGAAGAGAAGACTGAGGGTACAATTATACAAATCCTGCAGAAAGTAGACCGTATGAGAGAGATCAATCTAAAGGGCCATCTTTTGAGGAGACGTCCAAGTAGAGGTACTGCACAACAGAACTCCATGGAGGAGCGATACCAAAAAGCAAAAGAGATGAGTGCCTGCCTGCCTGCCCAGTATGTGAACAATTGGACATGTAAGTAACTCAGCAGGCTGGAGAGGAGAAGAAAGAGAGTGCAACTTGAACCATAGCAAACGACAGAAACTAATGAGCAGGCCAAGAAGAGAATTTCTAGGGGAAGTCAACACGCAAAGAGAAGACTGTAAGCGCTAAAGAGCACACCGACAAAAAGGATCTATGGACTAGTGATCAAGCCAAAAAAGAAGGGCTAACAAAACCCGTGCCACCAATCGGGGAGCCAACGTTGCAGCATTCATCATTGAGAGTCAGAGGCAGGGACTTCAACGGTCCCTATGAGTGTTATGTAAGAAATTAAGAAGGATATAGCATTGGACAGGCTGTAATCAACATCAGATTGAAAGTGGCAGATTAGCGTACATATTGTTCAAACCGCCGAAGATAACAATTGATGCAAAAGTCCATTAACAAAACATTATTGCAGTTGTGGGGTTTGATATCATCTGGGTGTTTTTTTAGATGCTCCATTGGCAAAAGAAACGACCAAAACAACATGGCAATCATATGGGATCATTTACCTTGTACATGAAATAATCACATATGAACTTTAGCCAAACATAAACATTAAGGTATATATATCATATCAACACTAAGGGATTGTTTGGTAACGGCTTAATGGCATGTGTGGCTTAGGCGTTTGGTTGTGGCTTATTCAGTAAGTCAAAAAATATACATACAGATTCAGGCATTTATTATTCATTTATTCCCCTTCTAACCATCCCCTTCTTTCATCTTCACCCCTCTCATTCTTGCCTTCTCGGTGGAAAACAAATTAGAAGTGAACAACACCCCTATCCCTCTTGTTTGATCTGCTGTTGATCCAGCAGATGCCACCATGTGTCCCCTTCACTTCCTTCGCTCCCTCCCCATAGACATCAGAACAGCACCCCTCTTCCCTCCCCCACACCTGCAAACCTGGTGCGCTGATCTCCCCAACTGTTGGAAATGGAATTGGTTCTAATAGAACAACCTGAGATTTGAGATTGGAAATTACTGGTGATTTATTGAGTTTCTAACGGTGATGTACTGGTTTAAGTCTGGTTATGATTTGCTGCAGGCATCCTTTTCTGCCTTTGGTGGTGACCACCGTGCTTCCAAGTGGGATTATTATTTGCCACAGATTTTTTGAATTGGTTGGGGTTTCATTTTACCTGGTTATGGATCATGTTACCTCTGTTGTCTTTGGTTTAGTGGTGATTTAGAACAAAGGGGGTGAGTTGTTGCTTTTAATTTTCAGCTGGTTTTGGTCCAAAGGGACTTTTGGGTTGATTTTAGCTTTCTGCAGCCATGGTCGGTTCTTGCATTTTTTGCTGTGCTATGCAGAATTTATGATGTTGTTAGATGCTAATCTGCTGTTGTTTTTTCTGATGAGGACTATTTGGAGTACTATTAATGACTTATTGTTTTGGTAGAGGTCAAAGACGTTTTAGATTTGATAGTTTTTGGTCTTCCCAAGACTTGTTCTGGATAGACGGTTTTGAGGATCAGTGGGTATGCCCACTTCAATTTTGTAATTCTTTAGTTTCTAGTTTTTCCAAGGGGTACCATCCCCTTTATTAACAAAAAGTTTTAATTTTTATGATTCATATTTTTATTTTGTATTATAAATCTAGAAGTATTAATTATAAGCATTACTTATAAAGAAGTGCTACTTATCCCAATGTTATTAATAAAGTTTTAAATAATGGGATGTTTTTCATGTTGTTGAAGGTTCAATTGAATGTTTATCATTCAAAGTCAATATTTCGGCATTTTTGTGATGCAGTTATCATAATCAGTCTTTAATATATACTAGGGGTAAAATAGTCAATTCTTATATTCAGATTGTTTATTCAGCACGACAACCAAACATCAAGTTATCTTAAAGCATACAGACAACTTAATCCATACAAGTCTCGATGAAAAACCAACCGAACGGCCCCTAAGATATAATCACAAAAAGAACAAGGAAAATCGAATTACATACTTAACAAAGCAGAAGAAGAATAGAAAAGTCATAAGACTCACAGAGGAAACAAATAGAAAACTCTTAAATTCACCCAGTGACACAAAACCCTAATTTCACCTAGTGACACAAAAACCCTAATTTCAATTGATAAACCTCCTGCCTGATTATTAACTGATACCAAAAAACAGTGTAGAAATTGTATTAGCGGTTATTCAAATATCTTCTCACCAAAATAAAATGCATCTATTCGATGCACTAAATGGAATACAACAAATTATGAATCTATTTATATGAATTTCATGCTTTAAAACTGCCCCGAACAACAAAAATGGCAATGTAACAAATTATGAAAGAGTATAAATAAATCTGTTGTATTCAAAATGTAATTCCCTATTCCAATCTATGACAACTATATCCCCAAGTAACAAATTCCGCCATGTATGCTATGAATGAGATACTGCCGCAAGCAACAAAAAGCAATACCATGAGGCGTACCTTTCCTAAGCTGGTGAAGCGGGAAATTCGAGAAACAACCGAATTCAATCCGCCAGTCCACGCAATTGATTGAATTCTGAGGCAGGGCAAAAAGATCTGGACTTCTTCTCGCATCAACTTTCTGTATCATTCCAATTTAACGGATGTCTCCGAAAGGAGGAAGTCGAATGCCACGTTGAAGTATAGAAGGTAGTTGACGCACCATCCGTCATAATTGTTAGCGGATTAACGATTCTAACGGGAGTTACAATTTAGGGGTACAATTTAGGGGTACAATTTAGGGGTGTTTGGGATTGCTTAAAAAAATAATTTATTGACTTATTTGGTTATTTCGATATGACACCGGTAATAAGCACTTTTGAGTGTTTGGATAAACAACTTATACCGGTGCCAAACCAGTAATAATGAGTTTTTGAAGAAGTTAGACCCTTCTAAACTATAATAAGTTGATAAGTGCTTTTGTAAAAAAACATAAGTTGTTTCAAATAAGCAATCACAAACACCCCCTTATTCTATCATCTATATAGCGATTCTAACGAGAGTTACAACTTATTATATCCTCTTTGAAGATGTATTTGAAAGTTTCGAAGTCATCCTAAATGCTAGGAAGGCTGACTCCTTAATATTTTGAATAGTGTTAAAATATGTCTCTTTATCAATCTTGACCAACTTAACCCCTTTGTCTTTATTTTAACAGAGTGTTAACAAGTTGGGGTAGAAAGTGTTAAATATAAAAAGTCTTGCTGTACAAATAGAAGAGGGACTGCGTCTCACTTCTTGGAATATTCAGAAGGTAGCAGAGTCTGATCTAAGTTCTTCAAGGACCAAAGTTGCATTTTCTAAAAGATATAAAAGCCTTGTCTTTTGGAGAACCGGCTCATATTCACGCGTTCTATTTTCTCAAGAGCTCTCATTTAGCTCTCGTCATTCTCTCTCACTATTTTCTTCTTCTCTCTAAATCTTTTCTTTGTATATGACATCATGTTGTTCTTATGAAGTTTAGATTTAGTTAAATAGATAGTTTTGTAATATGTATACTCGGTTTTCTTATTTATATGATTGAAATAAGATGTTTTCAAATATGTTTAGTTTTAACATGGTATTAGAGCATTCAAGTTCGTTTTTAAAAATCTTTTTGGTTTATTCATTTATGTTTTATTGAAATCGAGTATATGAATGGTTAGAGTTTTCTCAGTTTACGAGCATTCAGGTTCATTTTCTTGAAAATCTTTTTGGTTGTGTTCCTTTCTGTTCTATTGAAATCAAATATATGAATGGTTAGGGTTTTCTTGGTTTACGAGCTCGTAAGATCTCGACTACCGGTTTCCCACCGTGATATTTGATCCTCGTCTCTGTTTCTTTGTTAGGTTTGAATGATAAATGATCGAATGGGTTGTGTGCCTTGCTAGATCTCTCTGATCTGTTGTCGTCCCCATTTCAAGATATTCTTCTTGTTTGTTTTTCCAAATCTGTGTAGTTCTGGTTGTTAGCTAGAGTGAATGATATATGATCGATTGGGTAGTGTACCTTGTTAGATCTTACTGATCTACTGTGGTCCCCTTTTCCAGATTCTCTTTTCCTTTATTGTTGGTTCCAGACCTATGTGTACATGTCCTTCCAGATATCTGTCCTTGTTCCAGATCTGTTAGTGCGTGTCCTTATTTGGTTCAGTTTATTTCTGACTCCTGTTTTTTTTTTTTTTTTGCTTGGATCTGTTTGTACATGTTCTTCCATATCTGTTTGTACCTGTCATTATCTGGTTCAGTTTATTTCTGACTCCTGTTTTTTGTTTGCTTGGATCTGTTTGTACACGTTCTTCCAGATTTGTGTCCTTATTCCAGATCTGTTTGTACCTGTCATTATCTGGTTCAATTTATTTCTGAATCATGTTTCTGTTTGCTTGGATATGATGGTTGTTTTTCTTTCTTGACAAGATTTGTGTCCTTCTGAATCTGGCTTGTATCTTGTTCTTAATATATGTTAGTTTGTTCAGGTGTATCTTGGATCCTTTATTCAGGAACCTCGTTTCCTTTTAGCTAAAGTTAAAAGGCCGTTGTGGTAAGTTGTTGTTGCTGGTTGTAGGTGGCTCTTGTCTCTTCTTCTTTTAACAATTGTTAAAAGTGTTTGTGGTAAGGCTTGTGGTATTTCTTTGTTTCTCTCTTCTGTGTGCTCTCCTTTATTCTTCTTCTCTTGCTTCTTGATTGGAATCTGAATAGTTAGCTTGACCTAGCACGATTCAATGTTTTAGGAATCCTGCTTATCTCTATTCAGTTTCTTTGTTTGTGTGTTTTTTATGGCTTCTCCACCAGTTGAACCTGAAAGTCCAATGGAATCCAAAGTCACAAAATTAGACTTTGGAGATCCACTGTATTTGCACCCCAGTGACACTAGTGGAGGCTCTCTTTTGTCTTTCAAGTTAAGTGGGACGGATAATTACAGAGTTTGGTCATATGCCATGATATTAGCCTTGGAAACTAAAAATAAAACTGGTTTTATTAATGGATCATGTCCGCCTCTTATAAACGATCTTGTCTTAGAAAAAGACAATGGGATCGATGCAACTTTGTGGTTCTTTCATGGATCTTAAGCTCCATAACTGAGGATTTGTTCCTAGGATAGGTTTTTTTAAAAGAATCCTCCCAAGTGTGAGAGGAATTAAAAGAAACGTATGACAAGGTCGATGGTTCAGTTACCTTTAATCTTTACCATAAAATTAATTCCTTAAGTCAAAACGGCACTTCTGTTTCTAAATACTATCATAAGCTAATTTGATATTCTTGTAAAACTACCGTCCTGTACTTGTAAGGCTTCTCGTGACTTTCTGGAACATAGTCAACTAATTAAACTCATGCAATTTCTTACGGAATTGGATGATGTTTACCAACCTATTAGAATCCTAACAGTAAGGTTTATTTCCCTTCTGGAACATAGTCAACTGGTAGTCAGGAAGGTGGGCTGTATTTTTTTTTATCAGAATCCTAACAGTAAGGTTTATTTCCCTTCTGGTAACAGTTTTATGGTATGTTTCGTTTTCAGTCAGTTATGGCACAGCCGCCTTGGTCACGCAGCTAACCAAGTGCTTCAGGTTCTGAAAGATAGGCTTAACATTGGTGGTGAAGGTAGTGGCCCATGTGAGGTTTACCATAAGGCAAAACAGACACATGAAAAATTTGATGCTAGCACGCACAAGTCCAGAAGTCTTGGTGAACTTGTTCACTTAGATGTATGGGGCCCATATCATGTGCAAAGTAGGGAATGCTACAAATATTTTTTAACTGTTGTTGATGATTTTACATGTGCCGTTTGGGTCTATCATTTAAAAGGAAAATATGAGGTCTGTGAATACATTGAAAGTTTCTGTAATCTTCTTCACACTTAATTTGGAAAGCCTGTCAAAAAATTTAGAAGTGATAATGGGACTGAGTTTATGAATCACAAATTAAGTGAGTTTTTTGAGTCAAAAGAAATTATTCATCAAACCTCTTGTAGATATACACCTCAACAAAATGGGGTTGTGGAACGTAAACACCAACATTTAGGGGCCATTTACCGAACGCTTACTCGGGTAAGCTACCAAGTTACGTTACCTTATCGGATGAATATGGTAAGGACCAAGAATCTTACCCGATAAGAGCCAAACAAGGATCGAAAGTCTTACCCGGTAAGTGAAAGTGACAGCTCTTACCACGGTTAGTGCTTACCAGGTAAATTGTTGCATACGATGTTGTTTTCGTGGACTAAAATCTTACCCGGTAAGTAAGAAATAGTGTTGAATTTCACGGGTAAGTGATTAGGTAAACGACCCCTAAACTTACTTAACGTGGCTAGAGTTTTTTATGTTTCAGGGTGGAGTTCCGCTCAATATGTGGAGTGAATGTATCTTAACTTTCATATATCTAATAAATCGAACTCCAACTTCTTTTTTTAAATGGTAAAAGTCCCTATGATCTTGTGTATGGCTTTGACCCGGTCCTCACTCATCTTAGAAGTTTTTGGGTGTCTCTGTTTTGCTCATACACCCAACATCACGGATAAATTTTCCCCTAAATCTGAAAAGTGTGTTATGTTGGGTTATGCAAACTCAAAAAAGGGCTCCAGGCTTTACAGTCTGGATTCCAAAAGAATTATTCTTTATAAGGATGTGAAATTTTATGAAAATGTTTTTCCTTTTAAGATGAGTATGGACAAGACTGATGAAGTCGATATTGGTGGTATAAACAATCTTAATTTCTTTGATCCTATGACTAATTCTTCTGATGATCTTGATGTTTTGGCACCCAATTATGAGAATAATTGTGAAGACGCGCGTACCGTTCTGATACACGCGACCCCTCAAAATTCCATCAAATTGTGGATGAGAACGTGCTATTTTCTTCATCATTGCACAACTTTTGAGTCGTATTTTCCTCTCATCTGTTTCCATTTCTCTCTCCTCCTACCTATAAGTATGAGACTTCTCCTCCCATTTTTACCTTACGCTTTCAAATACTTTTGTCGAACCTCTACCTCAAAATCTTTTGCAAGCAAGAACTAAAGAACTCTCAAAACCTTTCAACCTTCTTCTTCTAATACTCACAGGTTGATAACACTTCTTTCGTTTTGATATGTTCTTCTTCTAAGAAACTCATGTTAGGTTATTTAAGATCTTGTTCTCTTAAATAACTAACATAAAGATTGTTAACATATTCTTATACTTGGTTATAATCTAAAGTTTCTATACACTTACTCTTCTTGAAAAACCATAATATTTTCTTTGTGGATTTTTCAAAAGAAGTTTTATTGTTTTTAAACTTAATAGTTTACATCTATATCTTGGATTTCTAACAGATCTGTTATTCCTTATGTTTTTTTATTAATAACAGAAATGTCTGTCAAGAACGTGAACTTCTCCATTGACGATGTGTCTTTTAAGCCCAACAATCATGTGGCGCTGTTAGACATTCTGACCAACAAGTCTTACTACGAGGAAACTGCTATATTCCTTAAGAACTCTCCTATCATTTACCCTTATTCATCTACGTTCTTCAAATTTTATGCACGTCCAATTTCTAAGATATTACAAAATTTTCACCAAATAATCTTGTCCATTGATTAAACATATTAATAGTTGGGATTGATTAATAGTTTTGTATTATTTTATGAGTTAACAAATGACTGGGCCTCTAAAGATGTATGGAG